CTGATTGATATGAAAATACTCAGATATCGATGCTCTTTCCTTCGACAAACACAAAACAAAACAGGTGACGAATCGGCTACTTACGCTCGAATGCTTCCATGAGTCAATTTGATTTCAATCAAGAATCGACTGTTAGTTCGTTTTCCTGATTAATGACGATGATGGTGTTAGCGCTTGTTTTGACATATTCATGCGTGTGAAAGAATTGATGAAATCTCCGGAACAAAAAAAACGAAGGCGGACGAATAAATTTTTTTCTTCTTTTGCTAATAATAGAGACCTGTTCTAGTCAATGTTGATGTGTATGTGCACTTAAATAGATTTCTTCTATACTTAACGACGACGCCGGGTTTTTTTTATTGTTTGATTTATCTCCTTTTTCTGACACCCAAAAACGAGCAATAGAGGACACGAAATAGAGAAAGAAGAGAAGAGAGAGAGAGAGAAACAAAGACTCTGTGTCTTTCATCGTATGACTAAAGCGGCTGCCAAGAGCGAATAGCATAGTAAATATATATATATATGAGAATCTCCAAAAAAAGGGTTGAGAAATAGAAGTGAAAGTCAAGCCTACTCTTGTTCTAAAGATTGTTTCGCTTACTTATTTCCGTTGGCACTAATTAAAGATCCTTTCTTTTCCTAATTCACCTCTGTTTCTCCGTCGAGTGACATTTGAGACTTGACATCTACATTTACGTACGGGTGAACTGAATGTGTTGCATGGTTAACTGATATGTTTCTTATGGTTTGTTGCTGTGAAGAGAAATCAGTCTGTTGAAGCACAAAAGAATGACTCGAACGGTTCGACTGAGTAGATCATAAATAGGAGATAAAGAAGATAGTTCACATCAAACTGAATTAATGATCACTCTCTTCTATTATTTTCTCATGAAAAAAAGATGACGATGGAGAAAAACGCACTAAGGGAAAAAGGCAAATGAGAAGTATTCCTTATCCTGGCATGACAATAAACACGGCACATTTCCTTTTTGCTTCATTGTTTCCGCTGAAAATAGACCACCTTCGTATACAGATCGCTTGATTTATTATTGATAGAAAGAAACAAGTCATGTACAAGATATTAATCCGACTCTGACAAGACGAGATCGAAGATCAACTTACCAAACTTGATCCTCTCTTAATGACGTACAAAGAAGACTCCGTGATGAATTTCTAAGATCGATTTGTCGTTCACTGTACTGCTCGTTTTACTTAATTGGGTATATTTGTTTTTATCCTTCACAGACGCGATCGCTGCAAGCAGATCGAACTATTTCCAGCTTCAGTTGCTGTTTTTCTGTTAAACATATTAACCTTTCGATGTTCCCGTGAACTTAGTCAATTACTGAAGAGTACGATTTTTATTAGGAATCAAAAATCAAAAATTAAAGAGAAATGAAGAATTCAAAGTCACACTTGAGGATTGTTTTTGAAAAGATATTCCGCCTAGAAAGAAAGAATTTTTTATTACAAATTGCTCATTAGGAAATATTCTCTACTAACCACGAAATCAACTGGATCTTCCGGTCGAACTTGACAACATTCTAAAAAAGCGAATCAACTTTGTAGATTTGGAGTTCAAAGAGATAATTATTCTTACCAATCAAGGCTTTGGTTAATGTTGGCATAACATGTGTCATTAAGTAGTTTCGTAGAGGCGTCGATTGTGCATCAAGCATTTCAAATTCTTGACGTTTTATTTGTTCTAGTTTCGTTGTCCATTCTTTTTGCTTTTTCGCACGATCATTTGCTGCTTCCTCTTCATTCCGTTCGCGTTCCTCACGGTCTTCACGTTCACGTTTCTCCTTCTCGAGGATTTCATTTCGTTTGGCAATCTCTTGTTCTTCAGCTGTTGGACCATAATTACGTGGCTGTTTCACACGTTCCATGATCTTTTTGACGATATTCCGATGATTTGGACTCAGATCATCATCGATTTCTACGCGAAAGAAAAGGTGAAGATTTACACCAGACAGTGATAAACTATTGATCTCCTGGGATCGTCTTCACGATCTCCAGGTAATGTCACGGAAACCGAGAGAAAAAAAAAGAAACAATGCTGTGTGTTAAACGCCATTTGATGAAAGTAGATCCCTGAAAAATAAATCTGCGCTTTATACTTACTGATAGTTTCTCCGGGACGATCGACATCTTCGAAGAATTTCGCTGGATGTGAGTCATCACCCAAATCAATGTACGCTTTCAATCGGCGCTTGAATTCTAATTCTGTATTGTGCGTGTCGACGACGATTTTTTCGGGCAGATGCATAATTCGCTGACGAAGAAATTCATTGCTTGCTTCGAGTATGATCACATGCTCTAGGCAGGAAAAGATTGATTTCAATTCGAAATTTTCAAGAAAATAATCAACAAACCAGGAATGATGCGATCATTTACGGGTGGTTTTTTATCTTCGGCACCTTCTTCCTCTAAAAAATCCACGGACTCTTTCGATCTTGAACTTCAAAGTCTATCGTTTTACCTTCTTCGGCAGAAACTAGAAAAGATACGTATTACAATAGGAGAAGTTTGGTAGAAGTTTGATATGACTCACCTCCGAATAGATTCGTCGCTTGATCAGCTGTTTTCGGATAGCCATCTAATACATAACCTTGGTTTTGACATGGTGGTGACATAAGTTTAATCTTGAAGATTTGCGTCAGAAGATCATCATCCAAACGGGCTTGAAATACAAACAAAAGAGATTTTATTCGAAAATGAAAATATGAAATCCGAATTACCATCTTTGTTGTTCTGTCGCGCTTCGTCAAGTCTTTCTAAAACGCTTCGGGCTTCATCAACACGATCTGCTAATGTTTCATCGACATCTTCTTCATCGATCTCTTCTTCATTTTGTTCACTTTCATTACTACGCTTAACTAATTGTTCCTGGAACAAAATCAATTCTTCCTTTTCCTGATCTTTAACTTGTACGACTTACAAGCTCGTCTTTCGTATCTCTAATCACGTCTTTTATTGCCAGATAATGTAATTTATATTCTTGAGCTAATTGCTTCGCAATAGTTGTCTTTCCCGAAGCTGGTGGGCCAAGAATTAAGATTTTAATTGGCTAGAAACAACCAAACTTGAAGGTAAGCTTTATATGAAGGATGAATTTACTATCAGATTTCGTTGTTTTCGATACTCCTCGATGATCTTTTCCATATTTTCTGTCATACCATTTTCACAATGCCATTTGATGTTCATTTGTTCGCGAATAAACATCGGTTCGAATTGCATATTCGCCATCAGCATATCGAAATCAGCTTGCTGTAAGGGAAAAACCTACTTTTAACATAGAAATGAATCGTAAACGATATACCGTTATGTTTCGGTTGAGCATGGCATCTTCTTGGTCAACCGCTTTCACTCGACCGGTACCAAGTGCTTGGCTGATTTTGCGTGTCAAACGTATTAGTGTATCTTTACTCGTATCCGTAGCAACGATGTATCGAATTTTCAATTGACGATCAGCAAGGTTCTGTAAAACACTACAACGAAGTATCTTTTTCAAAAAGAACGGCGTCATTTTCCCAAAAGTTTTCTTACGCTGCAAGATCCATGACGTGAATTGTCGGCAGATAATTGTGACCTTTACCATAGACAGGAACTTCTGGAACATTGTGCCATGCCGCTTTGAAAATGTAATGGAAAACATCTTCTTCCATTCCATAGGTTAAACCAGTTGCAACAATGTAAGTCAAGAGCTTCTTTTTATTTGTCAGACCGAGTTTAGTGATCATTTTCTCGGCACTGTGACGTTCTTTGTAATTTGGATGAGCTCGACGACGACGAAATTCATCTTCAGAGAATGGCACGTCATCCTGCGAAGGTATTCATTCATCCAAATGGTATGAGAAACTCTAAATTAACTCACTTCGTTCGATTGCGTTTTCGCCCACGTCATCACGGATGAAAGAAGAATGAACGTAACTTGATGGTCCAGTTCGTTGATCATTGATTCTATTTTTTGACATGCCCATACGGCTTCATCAACCTACAAACATCGCGTTTTGATAAGGTCTTCTTCGTACTTCAAGTCCCATCTCTTACTTGTTCCGGATCTTGAGTAATATCATAGATGATGACGTTAACTTCTTTCAAATAATCGATCAGTTGATTGCGATCTTTGTACTAAATAAGCGGAATAGTTATTTTGCCCTAGTAACTCATTTCCTAGTTACATGAATAACTTCTTGAATGAACGGTGCACGTTTGTAACCTTGAGTATTTTTCACTGTTCCCACGACTTTCCATCCATCTTCGATCGGATTTTCATCATACAGTTGTTTCTGTTTCTTTTCCGAATTTTCTTCTTCAGCTTCTTCTTCTTCCGATGGCTCACTTGTAGAACCTGGCTTGGCTCGTGCAAAAATCTTCAAACCCGTACATACATACATTACTTTCTCCAAATTTCAGACACACAACTCACTCGAGCGATATTCTTTCCATGATAGGTATCAATGTGATTGATGAAAATCTTTTTAGGCTTCTCTGGTACAGGCTCTTCCTTGACTTGTTCTTCGCCTACTTGTTCCTCATCTGAATCGTCAGCCATTGTTGAATAGTACAGAGTGAAAAATGATGTTTTACACAAAAAACAACCATTCTACAGTTTGGTAACCAAGTCATATCCTCTTCACGGCAAAGAATTTCTGCTTACCAACAGATGTCGCCCATAGCGTTTCACGTCTGTCGCATTCAACTAGGTCAACATTCATTAAAATCGACTTAAGATTGCGTGTTACAAAAGAGAGAACAGCTTATATTCATAATGTACAACACATCGATTTTCTTTTAATAAGAGATTCTCAATATTAAAAAAAAAACAATAAAATAGAATTCTTCTCTTTGGTCAAATCAAACGAAAATACATGAAGAAAACATAAATACATAGATTTTCAATCGTAACGACAAACGAAACGTTTTCCTTTCGTTTTCATTTACTCTTTAGAAAAGAGATACTCGAGAAGAGCAGAAACAATTCCTAAAAACATCAGTTATTTCAATGTTCGTGCGTAATCACTTAAAGCTTGATACAAAAATTGATATTGATCATGCGTTTGGATCATTCCACCACGATCGCGTCGTAAATTACAAAGTATTCGTACAACATCAACAACATGTTCAATATTTAGTTGTTTAATGCCATTGCTCAACGCAATAAAACAACCTGTACGACCAATACCGGCACTAAAATGGAACGTAGAGGCTCACGAAAGAAATGAGTGATGGTCTTTGTACGTACCTGCAATGAACGACAACAGAACCAGGATTTTGATTAATCCTGGATAGTTCTTTTCGACTATTTTCTACATTTTGTACAAGTTCGATCAACGGTTTAGTCACGTCTGGACATGATTGATCAGGCCATGCTGCAAGTATCATATTCGAAGATGAAAGTGAAAAATTCGACAAAGAATAATTTACCTGTGTACCAGAAATGATCAATATCACGTTGTTCGTTTTCGTACTAGAATACCAATACCGTTAAAGGTAAATGAATCTTATCGAATAGTAAATCAATTTACTTTGATTGTTAGTCTTCGTATTTCATAATCAGTTTGATAAAGAGTCGATTTCACTTCGACATGAAATGGACCATACTGTTCAGATTGAGCATCGGGAACGTATCGTTCACATTTTGACTAAAGAAGGAAAAAAGGGATGCTTTTGTAATAGATTGATAACAATGATTTACTTTATTTTTTTCGATTAAGCGAGTAATCATAACAATAACCGGGACATGTTCTTGCCAAATCATTCGATAAAAATCAATGATTGTATTTGAAAGTGGACCTTGTGTAGCTATGAAAGCGCGTTCACCGTTAGGCCAATCATGTATATAATTGGCGTTAATATACGATGAAATTGAATCACCGGATAACTCAGAGAGTTTCACTCGAGAATGTTCATCTGAAAAACGAAACTTTCGTAAGAATGACTTAAATGAAAAAGTCTGTCGTACTTGCAATGATTGTGCCATAACGATTTTTGATACCAGCACCGTAAATACGGAGTTTTTCCAAATGATTCGTTGGTATGGACTAAAAACGAAATCTGGATATGGATGAGATATCGATTTTATCAAACCGACCCAAAACTCTTGATAGAGTGCTCGAGTATCTTGCGCGTGTTGATGCAGTTCATCGATCGTCAGTTGACGTGTTGCTGTTTGCAGGTATTCATCAGATGGACTGAAAAATTCCAAGGCTATTTCAACCAACAAGATATCAATTATATTCTTACGAATCTGTTGGCGGACTGTTCAAGCGCAATTGTATTGGCGTGACTGATATCGTCAACGAATTGTTCGATCCTCGCCTAAAATAAATCAAAACAATTATCATTAACTAATATCATCAAATTCGGCAAGAGATATATGATGATATCTGCACTTCACACGTACCGTCGTTTAAATAGAAGTGACGTTGATGCGCTCCAGAACTTATAGCTCAAAATAGGAGCGTCGACCTCCATCGAACTAGGCTGCACTCAAGACTGAAACCGTGTAAAGATTAGCTAATTGCGGTTGGAATACTTTGTCGTAGAGATTTCAACTATCGAATTACGCTTAAATTTTATATCGAAAAGAAAAATGATATCACTATCAAATAATCTCACTGCACCCACGCTAGTAACACGAAGAGAAAAGGTGATAAAAAAAACAACGCTGATGTGCAAACTCAACAACCTAAAGTCAAAAATAAAACCAACGTATCCTATACAATTTTCTTATTCAAGTATTTGTCACCTACGAATTCATATATATTTCTAACTGATCACTCAACCGTTCGGTCGTTCTGCACAGTATTAAAAAAGATCGTATCATGATAAAGTATCTTTTCCGCCTTGGTGTTTTTTCCTTCACGACTATTAGTAACGAACGCCTACACAGATTTTATTTTCACTTTTAACTGATAAATAAACTACCTTTGCAACAAATTTTTCTTTCGAACAGGTTTCACTGTTTCACGATCAGATGACGAATACGATTGTTCCATAATACTCGTTGGAATTTTTGGTGAACTTGGATATGTAATCGTTTCCTTTGATTTCGTTTGAGCATGGTGAACCGATGAGAAAGGAGTCAGTTCCGATGGTTCATAATGGTTTTTCTTCGACAATCGTTGATATCTCGAACACCAGTAGATCTGCAAGAAGACAATGCATAGAAAAAAAGCAAAAGCGATCGAGTTGTTTACCACTCCAAGAACGGTTATCATTGCAAAGATGATACTTGTACCGATGGATAAGACGAGAATATGCTCAGTCCAGAAGATAATCGTTTTTGTCTTATTTTCATCGATCAACTAAAGAAAACACATCTGTTCAACTTTGTTATATGTTCGCCGAAGGTTATTAGTATGAATGTTAATTTCCGTCATAGCTTTCAGAAAAGTCAAGAGGCAAGGAAAGAAAAGTGCATCGAACTCGAAAAAATGGAACTGACAATCTCGCGTGCTTACCATTTGAGCATCGTTTCTCCAAGTAGGTTCATATGGCATTTGTTTTACCATCGTCGTGAATCAGTCTTGCATAAACATTGTTAGGAACTGCTTAAATGCATTTCTCCTTACGAACGCAAAACGATAAATGATATCTAATAAAAAAAAAAGAAAGAAAGAAGAAGGTCGATGATATTTTCTAGTGCGAGAACACAATTGAAATTTCACACTCACTCGTTGTCAATGCATTCGTGTTAGATTGCTTTTATGAATCTAGAGGAGAAATCTGAAACGATCTAAATGCATATGTATAGGCATGTTTAAGTAGCAGAAGAAGAAGAAGAAGAGAAAATATGAATTGGCTTTTGTAGTTGAATGCGACTAGATAGTAATTGAAAAAAAGAAGAATATGGTGAACTATTGGAGAACGAAGTGAAAAATTTACAACTGGAATGGTGAAAGAAAGAGAAAAGAAAAGAATGTCAATAATCAAGATGATATTTCTTGTCGAGAAGACGATGAAATTGGTTCAACTGTCGTCAATTCATTTGCTTGAGACTATAACATACAAAATTCAAGATTAAGATCAAAACAAAAAAATCTCATTAGAAAACTAAGACTTATGTCATCTTGTCGACGTCTTTTAATAAATCTCTGAAAGGATTTTTCGTTATTTCCATGTATTCAAAAGATTCTCATTTAGACGCAGAACCATAATAACAGAAATACTTCGTCAACTTCAAAAACAATTATTCCGATATGTACGCCGACCTCAAACGTCTACAATCAAAAAATGTTCCAGAAGTTATGCGAAATAAAGGAACAATTTGTTTCATATCATTAGTTTTGAAAAGCACCTCTTGTCTGTCAGAGAAATAGACATAACAAACCGCCCGACAAATTATGGAAACACAAATTATTTGTCTAATGACGTCGAAAATTGTTTTTTTTTCTCATTGGGATACTCCTTTCCGATGAGTGAACAATTTCTGCTTTCTCATTCGTATAAATTCAAGTTCAACGATGATTTACAGTACCTGCGCTGGAACAGGAGGTAATTGTTTGTGCGAATGCATATTTTCATGTACAGCAAGTATTTCTTTCAGCCCACGATTTTCTAATAATAAAGCATTGATACGTTTTTCTTGTGTGGCACTGTTCGTATCATCAATAGTAATTGCACGTTGCATAATTGATGCCATTTCTTGAATTTTTGATGCTTTCTCTTGAATCTCCTAAATGTAGAATTAACTATCTATAGTTCAAATCAATTAAATACGCTTGCTGATCACTGTCGACTAATCCTGACAAGTCACGCTAAAATCTTATCGTGATATAAGATGGAAAAGGCCATTCTTTTCTTAAAATAGCTAAAGACTACGATCTTTGATGCTTACTATTAATTACTAACCTGCGACAGACCAGTATTGAATAATTGCACCGCCATTTTTTCTTTCTCTTCCATTAATTGTAGTTGTTGAACATGTTGTCGGTATTTAAACATGATTTTTTCTAGCACACTTCGATGTTCGGTGACTAATTGCTTTAATTCTTCATTCTCCTTTTGTAATTGTCTAAAAAAAGAGCAACTAGATCCCTTGATACCTCATCGATGAAGTACAACGAACTTTATCAGACGATTTTCTTTTTGAATATTGTAAAGTATAGCTTGTTTCGGACGATGTGTACTTATGTCATTCAATTCAGCAAGATCATCACCGTACTAAACAAAGAAAAAGAATGAAGATGCTTTCATTGCACCAAAACTACGAACCTGCTTCATGCTTAGAATCTTCTCTTGAACGTATTGAGCTTGACTTACGGCTGTATCGGCAGTCGCATCGTCACGACGTAATCGCGAAACGAGTTCACGGGCATTTATTAAAATGGTATCAAGCGATAAGTTCATGTTCAATACATTTAAAAGTGATAATTACTATAGAAGACAAGAAAAAACAATTTGTTTGTTTGTGGTGAATCTGACAACCAACCAATTAGACAAAGCTTCGGGGTTCAATCGATCGTTGTGCCCAATTGGGAATTAGTTTTGAAAAAAACTTGTTTATTCGAAATATTCTATTTGATAGAATAGCGTCAACATTGTCTACTCACGCTATCAACCATTCAGATGTCGCTACTATTCCACATGCCGAGATTAACTAGAACTTACTTTCATAAATGCACCACATGGAAATTATTCTTTTATCTGTTCTGTTCTATTCTGTCAAATGATAAGCACGACCTTCTCGTTGTTTTCGACAAGATTGTGACAAATTGATTTCTCCTAGAGCAGAATATCTACTTCAGTGCTTCTATTTGTTTGAAATGAGCCATTTGCAGAGGAACTCGAATCACAAAACTATGACGTCAAATGACTTTCTCTCTCTTTGTCTGGTGTAGACATACATTTCACTACTCGGAAACATGAATTTGTCAGTAAGAAAGCTATGCCGTCAGCAACACAATACTTTACAATGATTAAATGCAAATAGACAAAAAATATTTCGAAGAAAACAGCAAAACATAAGTTAGAAGCATAAATCGTTCTAACATATGTTGTAAATAACTACAAGACAAATGTAATTAATAACACATTATTTCAATAGAATTCCAGTTGTTATGTTGCCTTTCGAATCACACCATGGTGCGGATGAATATTTACTTCACTTCCGTCACTTCACCAAAGCAAATATTGTACTGCGAACGGAAAAGTGGCGTTCATGTTTTCTTCTCATACTCGATTCAAATGAATAAAAGGATTTTATTCAATATTTAAACACTTTAATTACAGAAAAATAGAATTATCACTTTTCTCTCGTGCGAAAGACAGAATGAAAAAGAGAAAAAAAATCGAATTAATGACGTTTTATTTGTTCTCTATCACATCTGATGTATTGATTGTATGTTCATCATTTTCAGCGTTGACGTTTTCATCGAGAAGACTAGGATCACAAAAGAAAGGACGCTGGGTCTAAAAAAGAGAACGATAATGAGAAACAATCTGGGCGACACATACATATTTACCCGATCACTATTCGGCGATAGAATTTGAATATTGACATTATCTAATAGGAACGGTTGTTCGAGAAGATTTACCGGTTGTTCGTGCCATTCGCATAGACTTTTTGGCGTTCGTACCAACTGTGAACTACCTGTAGCGGATAAGAATGAATGCGGAAATTACAGGTTACGAGTGAGAGTGCAAACCTCTTCGTGGTTTATCATGTTTGTCAGAGAGAGATGTTCGCCGACTTGACGACGGTGTCGATGATCCACTGCCTGTGTGCGATGTTTGATCTGAATGAGTACGTGACAATGAATAACTACGAATATGATCAACGTTGCTGAATGTTGGCGACGATGCCGACGAATGGTCCGACGCTAGCGGACGGTTCGTAATCGGGATACTTTTAGGAATTGACGACCGTTTCAGGCCAGAAACGAGTGCAGCACGGCCTAATGCAACAAAAGAATGATGACGAAAAAATGTTAACAAGCATAGTTAAGTGACATACCGGGATGGTTTGGTAACGCGGATGCATTAAGTCCTATAATGAAGAGAAAAACCGCGTAGTTTTAATGCCTAATGGGTAATTGATACTTGTGCGCATTTGTCAATACATAACAAAAATGATATCACACTCCTTTTTTTTGTGTTCAGAAGACGAGCTTATTCTGTAAGATGATATTCACTATATGTATCGCGTCTGTCGACATATTAGTCGTGGTTATTCTATTAAAATATCATCTCGCTGGTCACACTTATAGTAATAATGTATAATGATAGTGGATGTGAGACGTGTGTGCGTGAGTAAATGTGTACATACGTATGATACAGATTAATCAATCGCGCTGTACGATGGTGTGAGATAGAAAAGAGACAACAAGTGTCTATCGTGCACTTGACGACAAATCAGTTGAATGATACAAGAATTAATATCAATGCAAATTTTTCTATTCATCCTACTCAATACCTTTATTTTCCAATGTTCTTCTTCGAACTCATCATGTTTGCCATGTACATCAACGTCATATCGTTCGTGTTACAACTGTGTCAATCAATTTCCAATCGATCGGTCACATGTTGAACAAGTAAACCTTATCTGTAATGAAACACATCACGTTTTCAGCGACGAAGAACGTTTTTATTCAATTATTAAAACTTACGTGGCATCAAACTGTACAATGAGAACCTTCTATTTCGATCAATATACTCTATGGAATTATCTTGAATCAATGTCAATTACTTATGCGCGTTTGGCACGTCTGTCACCTGTCATCTTTAATCGATCGCTATCAGTATCGCCTATTCTATACAGTATTAAAACATTGAATTTCTCACATAATTCACTTCGATTACTGACAAAGAATTTCTCGTATTATTTTCCATCGCTGGAAAAACTTGATCTAAGCTATAATCAGCTGATACTGATTCGAAAGATGACATTTGTTAATTTAATTCATTTAAAAGAACTTTATCTGAATAATAACCATCTAAAACAGATTCTCTCGACGAGTTTCCCTCAACAATCACTCGATTTGATCAACTTACACCAGAACCACTGGCATTGTTCTTGCCGAAACGCATTAGCTCTATCAATCAGTCGACCAGTACCTGTCTGTCATACTCCAATTCAATACAGAAACCACAGCGCCCAAGACATCGCCAGGCAATGCTTTTTCCGTCGAAAAGCGAACATACTAATTACAACAAATCTCAATCGAGAAGAAAATCTAACCTGCACCTTGTCACCAACAGCCGACGTATGGCAAAACAAAACGAATGACAACGTCACATTACTATCTGCTTGGAATACTGAACAACAACAACCGATCAATATCGAATATCTGTATAAATTAGGTGTCAATGTGGAAAAGTATCTGATCTGTTTCAATTCAACCTCGTCACCACCGGAAATGATTCATCTGATCGTTCCACTAACATCGAACACGACTTTGCTCGATCCGATGAATGTGACTAGATCGTTTTTTATTGTAAAGCCGTCGACAAAATTTACGCCGCTTCTTCGTTGGCTGCTAAACTCCAGCCGGCGATTTCTTCCATCCTACCTTCAAACATCGGATAAACGTATTCTAATCATCTGGTTAACTATCTTAACTTCAACTTTTGTTTTCATTGCATTGCTGATATATTTCATTTACTATCGACGATTGAAAAATCCAGATTATGAAGTTCATTCATTCTCCAATCAATTCGTACGTTTAGACGGCAAACCGGACACATCTCGAACAATCTTTAACATGAAAATCAATTGTAAAAACCATAAATGTCTATGTCAATATCGTCGAAATGAACATTCGTTAATCTATTCGTCAAATTCAGCAACGGATCTGAGCATTCGACCATTATTAATTCAACCAGCAGAATTACGTTACGCAAAAATTAAACGAATCTCATCAAGCAAGGACCTAGGCCTGGACGATTCGACGGGACATTTCCGAACGATAGTCAAACTGAAGAACTCTACCTGATTGATAAGTAGCAGTTGAAAGAGTTTTCGATTGATTTGTTGTATTTATTGGTGTGGTATCTAATCCAAGTATCGAAGCGATTTTTGCTAGTTTAATCTGACGTGCTCTACGAGAAATAATAAACGTCGACGTTACGATTGCAAATCTTTCTATACCTTTGACGAGCTTTGATTAGATTTTGTTTCGCAGTCATACAATGAATATGATTATCAAATGTAAATTTAGCGTTGAGGATTGGTGGACTAGTTTTGACATAGATATTCGTCACTGGCTTATGAATGGTGATATGAAGAGAATGACTGTCTTCTTTATCATTAACAGCTTCGACATCCTGAAAGAAAATATTACGGAATAAGAGCGGTAAGAATTTTAAATTGACGTTCGCGACGTCTTTGACCGTATTGTTTAAGTTACGGTTCATAAGGGTGACCGTGACCGTAATTCACGGTCATGGTTAACATAAATATGTATTCAATCGCAATCATTGCATTGAATTATAGAGACAAACCTGCATTTGATCGCAAAATTTGACAATGCCCCATCCAACTTTTTTGTTATCGGGCTCGATCAGTATGAATTGCATTTGATCAATAACAAGAAAACGACGGTCTTTTCTATAAGAATGAAATTTAGTACATCGAATTCGTTTTGCGACAGCTTACTTGTCTTTCATGTGAATTGTACATGCGATCAAGTCTCTATTGTCTGTGAAAAAGGACGAAAGTTAGGAAAAGTTTAGTCGTTGGACATAATTACTTAGATCAAGTCGATCATTTTCTTGAAATAGATTCTCTGGTTTGATTAGTGGCAGTTCAGTTTCTGATATCGAACTTAATTCCAGAAATAACGTTCGAATAAGGAAAAACACTCGAATCGACTAAACAGATTGCTTATTCAAAACATTTTTTGTTCATTCAAAACTTACTCGTCGTGCTCTTTCGATGTCACCCGAAGGCAAACGTTTGATAAACTCGATTCCACTCAGCGGTGTTGTCGTTGGCGGAAGTAACATACAAGAATCCTTTAATAAATAATCGATTCGAGTTGGATTCATTTGCATTTGTCGATATTCATCTTCGAACATATCAAGTAACAGTTCCTGTTGCTAAAAACGTCAAATGGATTTCTATGCAAAAAACAAAAGAGTTGATTTTACTGGAAAGTATCGTCGCAAGTCTTCCGTAGCTTGCTTGCGTGCTTGATCGATTTGAGTTAGATGTTCTTCGGACAAGTAGGAAGTTTGGTTCTCTTCGTTATAGACAAGTTTCTTCAAAAATGTTATCGCTAAACTCAACGTGGCTATGCGAATGTTGGAATCTGAAACAATTGATGTTTTGGTTAAAAATGAAGGGAAACTCCGGATTCATACCTTGTTTAGTAGCTAGTTGAAGTATATGGCAAAGTTTATCGACTAATAAAGTATTGTAGAAGCTTTTCTCCTAGAAGATCGATCGAGAATATCGAAATGAAGATAAGGTGAAATTGAACTAACCGATGATTTAGTTGTTAAGCAAACGGATTCGATAATAACACTATCGACCGCTAATAAAATTGCAAATAAATAATCGATTGATGAAATGTCGGTATCCATCAACTTACATGGATTCGTTGTCATCGTTAATAAAACACTCAAAGCATAAAAACACAGTTGATCATTTTCATCGCATTCCAACGCGTCGATTAGAGCTCCAAAATAGGGCCTAAAAACCCATAACTTCGATCTTCTAAACGAATTTTCCGCACGAGAACTTACCGATCAGCTAATTCTGTATTGTTCACTCGCATTGGTTCTTTACTACGACGTGATTTTTCGTCATCTGTCCAATTAGAAACATAAAGTGAGGTTGGTTTTGCCGTTGAATCAAGTAATTTCTTATTGGCAGATAACGATGATGGTGATCGTATACGTGAATGTTCACCTTCATACCGTCGCCGTTCGTCTTCATCATTGATATCGACCACTTTCAATGAAATGTCTAATCAACGAAGAAGTGAATCACTTCAACTTCCACTTTAAAATTAAAATACCTGATTCATTCTCAGCGTCATCGCCACTCTCTTCGTTCGGTTCATTCTTCGCTAGACAAACTTCCAAAGCAATTGGCGGTAAACTATAGCAAAGCTGAGAGAAGACGACGGTGATGATCATTAAGAAAGAAATCTTCGTTACCTGTTGACCATAACGAAGTTGAATTGCTTCGACTGTCTCAATATCCGCTGAAATGATCAGATCAGCTAATTCTTCGACTACAGGTCGATAATCAATAACCAGAAAGACCTAAAGAATACAAAACATGTACGTTATCTCTAATTCATCGTCTTAAACTTACTTCGGCCAGAAGAAACAAAGTCGTTAACTGATCAATCATGACTCGTGGATCCTGAACAAAGCCGAACATTCTCTATATCACCATCATTTCGAAACTTTTACTTTAACTCGTGAAAATTTTTCACGCTTGATCAATGAAAACACATAGACAGGTATCCACAATCGATTCATCAACTGTTCTTTCAGCACATTATTCAAACTTTGAACATCCAATAAGAAAATATCTTGAATGTAATGGATGTGATCCAAATATTCTTCTAAACTCGACGTTAAATGACCGCGATTGTTAATCCTAAAACAATTCCTCAGATCGATTTTACATTTATGACTTTGACATACTCTCGATTGTTTCGTATCAAACTATCGAAATCCAACACATGATTTCGAATGAACCAAACAAGATTCGAGAAATATTCAGTTGCAGTGCAATCCAAGATGAATCGATGCATAGCTGGATCGGGCACTAGAAGACAATGAAACAACTAGAGATTCTTAGTTTATTCAGAAATTAGATATGAAACCTTTGTATACATTGAGGGTTAATGTTCGTACCGCAATCCGAACCATTGTTTCTGGATGATTGAAGAATTTTATAGCTTCAACATACAGTGGAAGTTCACGGTTTCGCTAAAGCCAAAAGTCAATAGGAAAGAAAACAAAGCCATCCGCCCATACTTCGTTGTAAAAGAAATTAATCGATTGCTTATTCAGTTTTAATGAAAGTGTCTTGAGAAACGATATATAATACGCCGTTATTTCTTCATCACTAAAATCAAATTTGTGTAAAATGATATTATTCACATGATTATTGGACAGAAGATAATCTATAGAAGAAAAAAAGATCAATGGAATGATCCTTGTTGGAAAGTTTCTCACAAAGCGAAGTTTCATTGCGGATATTTTCGAAGAGAATATTCAATGTTTGTAAGATTTGTACACAAATAAAACGGCCGTTCTTTTGACGCATATAATTAAGAAAATAGATCAGCATTCCGTTTTCGAGAAAATAACTGAAAATAGGCGAGTTATTCTTTCGCCAAAGAGATCGTTTGAAATGACTTACTCAAACACGGAACTGTCGTGTTGATCGCCCCAGATTAAGATCTCCGAGATACTTCTCAATGTTTCAATTAATAAATCAAGATTCACATCCGAAATAGTTGGATTTCGATGCAAAACACCATATAAATACCTGAAGAAAGATAGAGATCATAGCTGATCTCGAACCTTGAGCTTACTTGAGATTTTCAATCGAATGAGGATTTCTTGGTTGAGTTGCTCCGAACAGTGTATTTCTCGCGCGTGTGAATAAATCCATTGATATGGAAATAAAATGAAATCTACGATGAGATTAGTTTGCTTTAGTATTTGCTGAAAAAGGGAAGGGAAAGGACGAAGAAAGATAAGCTTTATTTTTCTATCCGTCGATGGATGGATTTGTATTTTATTTAAAAGAAACAAGACAAAAAATACTGTTTCTCAACAAAACAACGGATGTTCCTTTTGGGTTTTCTTTCTTTTGTTTTCGTGTCACATGATGTTACAAGTCAACTGTTTATTCTCGATTCATCATCTTTTGTCGTTTAAGTTTCTTTTTCGATTCTTTCTTCTTGGTAGCTGGTTCGTCATCAATGGCGCCACCAGTGCGTGTCAACACGTTTTCTTTTTCACTAAGGATTAATTCAATGTGGCATGGTGATGATTGATATGGATTGATACGACCATGAGCACGATATGTTCGACGACGAATTTTTGGTGCACGATTGACTTGGATATGATCGATAACGAGATGATCGACATCCAAACCTTTCACATCAGCGTTGGATTCAGCATTTTTTAATAATTGTAAGAGGATCTCAGCGGATTTCTTTGGCCATCGTCCTTGAGAGACTTTGAAAACTTTAGCTTGAGCCTTGCGACTAACACCACCGTTGTATCGTTTGAATGGAACGATTTCTTTTTTGTTAATGACGTTTTTTAAGTAACGTGTGGCACGTCGTACGGGCATGCGTCGAAGTGTATTTGCTGTCTCACGTGTATTTTTGAAATGAACACGTAAATAAGCACCTCGAGCTTTGCATGATTTAGCTGGATTTTCGACAGTACCTAGAGAAGAGTTCGTTTGCGATTTAAGAGTCATGCGGTCAGACGCGAAACTTACGTGAATATCGAACCATGATGTTAGTCTCTTGTTCGTTAAGATACGATTGAGAATATAGAGAACAAGATCTAGAAATCCGAAGGAAAATTAGTTTATAAATCAGGAAAGAGAACTATCTTCAAAGTGAAAGAAATGTTTGTTTGCAAGTTAAGAGAATAGATCCACTAGTAAACAAGATGAAATGTTGATAACCAATCAAAAAACTGACACATTGTACCATCGCCGAATCGTGTAGATGAAAATGGAATTATTTTGTGAAACTTATCATTATCAGACAGAAAAGATGAAAGATATCCTGAAATAGATGCCGAAGGCCGAAATATTCTAGCATTTTAGATATAGATGGCGCTAATATATGTTTGATCGAAGAGCAAAGAATTCTTGTACTCGAGCTGTTCATTGAGAAAACAATTGTCTGTGCACTATAGTAGTTTATTTGAATGTAAATATGTCAACAGATATCTGCCATTTGCTAGGGATTGTAAATTCAATATTGGATGTATGAGATAGAATGATTTTAAAAACACTCATGAAGATCGCTTCACTCAGATTGAATTGAATGATGAACGTTCAACCTAGAGTATCAATTCATTCCAGTGATTCTCAGTTTTAGTATAGTCTATTCTAGAGAAGATGTTTTCGTGACACAGAAATCAATCAATGCTTCGCACTGGTTTAGTTTACGTAGGAAGTCTATGGTTGGCCCGTTGGACGATTTTGATCATCCAATCACGATCGATGAGAGCGCTACTTTCGTCGTCAAAATTGAACTATTGAGCATCTATTCCTATCATTGAATGATTTGTACATGATCTAGCAATAAAATTGTCCATAGTTATGAATGTAAAATATAATTCTAGAATAGAATAAATTTGTTTTTTGTATATTTTTTACAGTGATTCTTTGTAAAGCATTTGAACATCATTGAACGCACAGTGCATAAAAGGAACGATTTATGTAGAGGACCAAGAGTCGGACAAATGTTTCTCTTCCAAGGTTAATAACATTCAACGAAACGACGGCAGCAGCAGCCGACTGTCTATTTGTTCAAGGCATTTGCGAAAGAAAAAAAGAAGGAAAGGACCTCCGTTGCATATATATATATATATATGTACGCAAGGTCGATTACGATGAACGTAAATGGATCTGTTACATTTTTTTCTTTTACTGTTATACATATTGATAGGATGAATAGAAAAGGGATGTTCAGTTCGGAAGCGACCTTGGTCGAGAAGGTCATTGAAGGTCGTGACAAGGCTGCTGATAGTACAATACAGCAATCAACGTGAATGTGTGCATGCGATAGCGATGCGGCAAAAATCAATTAAACCTTGTATTGTCGTTCAACTTATTTCTATTCTCTATTTCTTTTTGTAGATGTTTGCCCTTAAAACACTTGCCAATTTATGTACTACTCAATCAAGTAAATATATTTATATCTCAATTGAAAATTCATCTAAGCTTATTTCTATCAGCTTTTCAACATTCAATACGTACGGCAAAAGTTTTTAAACCGAATTTACTTCTTTCAAAACACCGAAACATAAAAGTTCAAGATGGTCAATGGGTAGAAAAAGATGCCGTATTAACCTTGCAAAACAATCTCGTTCTTTATCCCGGTGAAAATGTAAGGAAATTTTAAGAATTCTTCTTCGTAAACGAGATTTTCTTCTGTAATTAAGACCTCTATCGCACATGACTATACAATCCGAGCGAATGTACCTGGTTTCGTTGTGCTAACAACTGAATCAGTCAAACCATACCCACACAGTCCATTATATCGTTATGTCAATAGTGGCAATGATGTGAAACGAAATTTTATTCACATTGTACCACCACGACGTCAAGCAGCTTTTCGTTTAGTAGACCAATTGTAGTTTTCATATGAAAGGAATGATTGTCTCCCACGGGTAGGATAAAGAAAAGATGAAAATCACCGTTGTTTCGTTTCGTTTCTTGTTCATATTTATATTGCGAAGTCTAGCTTGATGTAAACGTTTTCGATATTATGTATCAATGTTGTTTTGTAGATTGTCGTCTCATATATATTTATGTGAAAGAGAAGTTCACTTTTAGCCTTGATGAATTCAATCTGAACAAGTATGAAAGTATTGATTTATATGAACAGTATTCGTCGTTAAGCTTCAAATTCGTTTATCATGACTGTTGTTGTTCAAACACGTGATCGTTGTCGTCTATGTTTTTCATTACTTTTACGTGATCGTTCGATCTGTTGTCAAAAATCTTTTCATTTGTTTAAGCAAATCGAGCGACGAAAGATCCCATTGAAGAAAATTAGTCCATATCAAATTAAATTACGAAATCAAACTGTATGCTTCCGAGACTTGGTTCTTCGTTATCTACATACTCAACTTCATCAGACGGAAAATTTGTCGAATTTCGTCTGCTATGATTGTTCATTGGTCCTGTTGGACATTGAACAATGTGCAAAATACTTACGAAAAACAATCAATCAATTGAAAGTGAAGTTCAACAAGACCAATCGTCTTCGTACCGCATCTTTATCGGCAACGTTTCAAAAGAAGAGGCAACAACAAGATCCGGCTGTTAAAGATGAACAACTGCCAATCAATCAGTCAGATTCAGAAGACGAGTTTGACGACATTGATGATGAAGAAGTGTGTAGAACAGCTTTTCTGACTCAGCAATAGAACTATTTCGACCTTTTTCTTTGCTAGGAATTTGATGAAGAGCAAGATGATTCACATACACCGAACTTATCTACCAATGCACCAGTTTCTCAGTCATCGAAATCTCTTCTTTACATGCCGTCATCATCATCTTTCAAAGGTGATTCTTCATCGAAGGTTCATACAACTACTAATCGTTCGTGCAATGCTGATGAAGACGAAGACGACGATGATGATGGTGATGATGACGATGAAGGTGAACGAAGAAAAGCTTCAATTGAGAAATCTCAACAACAAAACTTCAATGAATTATTTCATCGTTTACAAACAAACCCTATGAATGCTCTATCCGGTTCAAATGGTCTCATAACAACAGGTAATGCAATGAATCTATCGGATGACACCAATCCAAATCTGCTTCAAATGCGTCTTGCACACATGCTGGCCACAGCATCGACTAATTCAACGCAGCCAAATCCGATGATGAATACGTTTGCTAATATGCACAGAAATTTGTTCTTACAATTTTTAAATGATCCTGTGGCAGCTGCTCAAGCAGCACAAGCCGCAGCTGTAGCCGTTTCAGCGACACAAATCAATGCTAATCTACCACCAATGTCATTGATTGCATCGAACGTGAAACAATTAGGAAGTGGCCGAAAAAGAAAGTCGACGCCTGAAAAACGCGTCGTAACAAATCATCAATCAACGAATAACAATGGCGATGTATGTATTCGTAATCATCTGTACTATGTTATGAACGCTGGTCTAATTTAGATGTCACCAAAGCTCGAACACGACTCAACCAATACTACTACTACTAATAATGGTATTCACGATCTTGCTGAACATCCGCTGAAATTAGCTCTAAAAAGTCTTCAACAAACCAATCAAATGTTGTCGACGCCAGATGTTCGCAATCTCGCGGTAAGTACCGAACAGATGTTCAATAATCGATCAGCTGATTTTGAATCTCATTCTGTCTAGGCAAGTCCAAAATTGGAAAATGGTAGTTCATCGTATTCTCAAAATTACACCAATGCGTATCAATCTATCGATGAAAGTAGGAGAATCGCATTGGGTTGGGTAAAGTGTTTTTATCAACATATATCGGTTTTTCAGAGCGCCGAGAGGGTGCGGCACCGAATGATTCGTCGTTATCTCTTTCTCCATCGTTGCTTCGTCGAAATACATCTTCGTCTAAACGCCGAAAAATCTCCACACCAACAGGTCAATACGATTATTCGAGCGATTCGAAAAATCATCTTTCTCAAATGTCAACAAGCGATTTACTTTCACCGAATCATCAAACAACATCAAACGATGATCTCAATGGAAGTAGTCAACAGAAACAACAACGCAAATTAGATCCACGTTCATGTGCCGAATGTGGTAAAACCTTATTCAGTGATAAAACACATCTACTTCACTGTCAAACACACGCAAAAAACGAAAAACAATGCTGGATTTGTGGAATAACCGATGATGATATTAAAAAGCATATTATCAGCGAACATGGAAATCAAAAGTTCACAAATACTGGTTTCAAAGTAAGATCGAGAATGTATGCATATTCTTCTCGATGATCATTTCAATTTTAGTGTCAACATTGCGAAAAAGTGTTTCCCGTCTATGCTGATTTGGAAATGCACATGCGAGAGCATACCAAGAAAAAAGTAAGTCGAACACAAACTAAATCGAAAAAAAAACAATTCCAACGTATTTTTTCGTAGCCGTTCGAATGTCCGATTTGTAACAAACGCTTTGGTCAACAAGGAAATCTAAGCTGCCACTTACGAATACACAGTGGTGTTAAGGTAAGTCGTCTCAACACTTGAACGGAGATGATCGATTTGCTTTATTTTTACCATAGCCATTTACTTGTACCCATTGTGGTAAAGCGTTTCGCCATTCGAATAGTTTACGACGTCATGCACGCACTGTTCATTCAGTATCGCGTGGCTTGGCAATGAGTCCAGGTTCAGGTGCTACCACAACAACGGCCACACCATCGTCACTTCTTCTGACCACGGCTACATCTAGTAATTCAATGGTATCAATGGCAAACGATATACATCGGTTGAGTACAAGTGAAGCATATGATGATGGCAATTCAGAACTGATGATTCCATCGGACGATGCAGAATCGCTACAAGGTCCGCCGTCAACATCGTCCGCTGGTGCACCGTCACCTTTAATGTCCAATGCACAAATCGATGAAGATTCCCACGAATAGTTTGGGAAATATTCGATCTGTGTTCATATGATATGTATACATACTCAATTCGTGTGCATTATAACAAGGTTAAATCTCTTGCTTTGTCATCATTTATTCATTCATTGGCAATACGAATTTTTTGTGTTTGGGCTCCAATTCTACATGTACGCTGAGCATTGTTCTCGGCTGTACGTCTTTGTATAGTTTATTCTGATGTATTAGCGAACAGTATTTCTTATGTAGAATGGCCTTCTTCTCTTTTTTTTCTCTCTTGTTCTTCTATATGTTTGTGTTGTGTATGTGTATGCATGTTTTTCAGAACAGTGAAACCCGTTTTTCTCTCTTTCCCTCACTCCTTTCTCTTGTTTAGTTTCACTGTTGTTGCTGTTATTAAGACTTTTTTTTCTTGTTCTGATCTTGAGCAGTATTTTTCCATCTGATTATTCTTCGCAGTCAATAAGAACATTATCGTTAGTGTTTCTGTACTCTATGCCGGTGAAGATTAAACATCAGAAGAACGTTACACTGAGCATATATTGTTTTTTCGAACAGTGACTATGTGTGTATGTGTGCAGTTCCGGTGTGTGGTGTGAGTAAAAAACAAACAGAAAACAAACACGAAAGAAAAAGAAAATACACATATATCTCCGTCAAAAAAAAAAGAATAACTAACATCACCGGCCGCGTTTCTTTGCCTTCCCTGTATTCGTTTTCTTTTTCTGTTTTCCCGGTCCTGTTTATTGTTTTCATCAGTTTCGTCTATTCGATCTAGTCTCGATATTTTTCTAACTGTTTCGTTGTGTATACCTATATACTCTTCTGTTGCCTATGGGTTGTATTTCTCTGCAACTTGTCATCTTGTGTACGTGTGTGTGTTGTGGGATAATCATGTAATTTTCATGTGGCTAATTTTCTTTTGGTTCTGTTTATTGTAGTTGATAAAACTTCCTCTCTTTTTGTCTTGGAAAAACCTAGGACGTTGCGCTTTCTTGTTTCTCTTTTTCTTTGCAACACTAGAAATCTTGGTGGTGCTGATTCTTTTCGTTTGTTAGATTGGTTTTCTTTTCTACTGTTCTCTTTTTCTCCCTTTAGAGATTTTTGTGCGCATACTGCGTACAAATTTTCACGTTTTTTCTTTGTTTGTTCTTCCGATTATATTACTCCTACTTTACAGTGTATCTCGTTTCCTTCCAGTTCTTCTTCCTCATCTTCGTTTATCTTACTTACTATAACTATTACAGCTTCCTGAGAATATTTATGTGAAAAAAAAACGAGATCGTGTGCTACTACTACTACTACTATTGCTGTTGGTTCGAATAAATTCTAAATTGGAATATATATAGAAGAAAAAAAAAGATGAAAATTCTTGTTTTTTTATGGGTGATCTGTTGTCTGGATGAAAACAGCAATGGGAGATTAGACTATCTTCGAAAACCAAATTGAGACCTGTATTTTTAGATAATAATATTCGAAAACGTGAGCCTGTATAGACTGTTGATAATCTGACTCATCAAGATGTTCATTGCATTGAATGAAATGACAGTCAGCGATCCGTCTTCTTATCGAACAGTGATATCGTCAGTACTGATTTGTTTTAGATCGCACTCCGGTAAGCATCTGTATATCTGACTAGTTCATGACAATCACAGATCCATTCCACGATAGGCTATAAGCAAGTAAGTAATTCTTGCTGAAGAAATATCTGTTGAGTTTATATTTCTAGGATCATTGAGTGATGATAAACGAAAGCAAAGTCGAGTATGATTGAGAAGTAATTCATTGCTCTCTGCTGCTGCTGCTCCTCTCTCTCTGTCTCTATTGTATTATGTACTTTCGTGTAATAAAATGATCTAATCCATCTGCTTAGTTTGATTTGAGATTTTACTTAAATATTGAGAAGAACACATCTATGACAATTAGGTGTTATTTCACGTTAGATGACAGTTGATTTTCTTCTATTTGTAGAAACTAGTCTTCTATTTTAAACTGAAACAATGTCTGAAAACGAGACTTTAAAACCGAATGAGAGTGAACTCGAACCTGAACACAAACGTAAAGTATTCATCGGAAGCTTATCGTATAATATTGATGAAAATGCATTTCGTGATTATTGGACAAAATTTGGCAACGTTTTGTAAGTGTAATACAAATCATTGAACGGACAAGCAACTTGATTCTCGTTTTTTCCTCTCTTTAGAGATGCGACAATATTACGTGACCGAGAGGGTCGTTCACGTGGTTTTGGTTTTGTTACATTTGATAACTCTGCAAGTGTTGACGTCTTGATGCAAACCAGACCACATACGCTGGACAATCGTGTTGTCGAGCCAAAACGAGCAGTAATATATCTAAGTAGAATTAACGTTGTGAACGCGGTATTTTGATTTTCCTTAGATTCCTCGTGAAGAAACGCATAGAGTCGATGTGCAATCAGTCGTGAAAAAACTCTATCTTGGTGGAGTGAAAGAACCAATGACTGAAGATGATCTCAGAGAGTATTTTTCCAAGTATGGAACAGTCACTGAGATTGTTATAACGAAAGATCGTGATGGAAAGTATCGTGGGTAAGAAAACATTCACACTGAACTCGAGAAGACCAATATGCTTTTCTTTATTCAGTTTCGCTTTCGTCGAGTTTGATGAGTAAGTTAAACTCGAATGAAAATTAAAGTTTATCTTTTTTCGTAACTAGCTACGATCCGGTGGATAAAGTCATTCTAGAAAAAAACCATTTAATTGCTGGTCAACAGATAGTCGTTCAAAAATCTCAGGCAAAGAATGGTCCACAACGTTCGAATAGTAATATGCGCCCTCGACAAGGTCCACCCACAATGTCCAGACCGAATTATAACGGTGGTTACAATAACTATCAGCAAAATTCATACAACAATTCGTACGATCAAATGCCAAATAACAACTACGACGGTTATAATGGAGGTTCATTTGGTCAAGGGTAGATTGAAATATTCAATTCGAATTCTCTCAATTCAGTCGATGTTGTTTCTAGATATGATCAAAGAAATTTTGGTGGACCTATGCGACGAGGACACATGGGTGGTGGTGGCAGCGGCCATGGATATGCACCTTATAATGGTCGCGGTCGTGGAGGTCACGGTGGCGGTGCGAGTGGCGTTGGAGACGGTCATGTTAGTCAAGGTCCATCATGGGCCTCCTGGAATTGAATGAACCCTAACTGTTTTTTTTTTCTTGTAATCAGATATAACATCTAGAAAAACACGCAACTCTCTTTTTCTATACATCTTGGATTTCTTCTTACTGATTCTGTCTGTAAATTTCTCCAAAAACAAAAGTCAATATGTTCTAGATGGAAAAACGTCTCGCCGATCTTGAACAACGGTTACAATCATCCATATCCAACGTCTGGTGTCGAACTCTTCTAAATCAAATCAATCATCTATCATCATCGCTCTCCAATCTTACACCAATCTATCGATCACGCTTAACTCGTGAACAACTATTAGCATCCATAAAAACGATCCAAGACTTGAATCTGAACTCAACCAATACCGATGTATATCGTCGAGCACTAGCGAACTATCTTCTTCTTCTATCAATCCATACTCATAAACTCGTTTGTGGAGTACTATTGGATCATGTTCATCATTTGAAACATCACTTAACCTATTGGAAAAACGATGAGTTGAATCAATTTCAAATCGTTGAACAATTGAAAACAACATTTTGGTTTGATCAACAACGAGATGACATTCGTATAACAGAAAAGATTAAATACCTCAATAGTCAACAAGATTTGTTAGCTAATCTTATCGGTCGTTTAGCTTACACAATAACGAAGATAGAACAGCAAGAAAAGCTCGATCTAAACGAAGTCATGAGTGCAACAAATGAACTTCATAAAGTCATTTTCGATGAAGTCACAGTCGAGTATAATTCCCAAAGTGATTTACTCGATGTCATTGAAGTTCATTCTCAAATACTAAATTCATTCGACGAGTTTCGCTCGAAACTAATCGAGAAAATTCATCTCTACCGACGACCGACACATCTAAAACGCTACCTCCCGTACTACATCAGTTCTACTGCGATAGGCATGTTCATCATCTATAAAGTCTATACAAACAAAACCGGGATATACAATTACATTACAACGACATACGAATCCTTGAAATTCTTTCTTAATGAACATCTAATCGTTCCGTTAAAAACAATCTATACATCAACATTCGAATCCCATTCATCGGAGAGTGCCTACGAAAATTCGCAACTAAATTACACGAATTCGAAGAAAATTTTGGAAGAAATGTTAGAAGAATACGGACGACAACATGCCGGTACTTTAGCACAAGTGAATAACATAAGTGTAGAAGAATTCTTAGCGACATTGAATGAACGTGCAAGAAACGAAGATATGAACGTCGTGATGAAGAACTATCAACAAGAACTCAATTCTCCGATTCGATCCGCACTTCTCGGAGATTTAATCAAAGGTATACATTCAAATCTGATTCGATCTATTGATTTTCATCTTTGCTGATTTAGGTATATTGATTCAAGTACAAAAAGTCAAAGTCGACGGCGAAGGTTTAATCATACAAATTGATCAACTGATGAAACAAAACCAAATCAATTTCAGTTTGCTGGCAACGATTCCCGCAATACTGATCATTAGTTTTGTTTTCGTCGCAACGAAAAACATCGTCAGTGATCGATTGATCAATCAACGAAAATTCGATCTCACCACCCTTCGAGAGCAAATCATTCGTAAACTTCGCGAAGTCGAACATATTCTGATCATGAACAGTGAAACGCCAGCATTGACAGTCAATGAACATGAGCTAATCGTTCCTGAGTACGATCGTCATGCGGCCGTTGACCAAAAACAATTGATGACATACACTACATTTGGCCAATTTCTTAGTCTAATTTATGAATTGAAATATTTTGCTAAACAATTGAAGTCAAAACGAATGCTGTCAAAAGAATTCAATGATGATATTAATCTATTAACCTACACCCAATTGTCTGCGAATCAAAAACTTCTAATCATTCAACAAATCCATCACTCCTATTCATTTCTCGTGCATTCATCATAGGTGATTGAGTTTAGTTTGTTTGCCCCTCGTCCTTTTCAATCGGTGCTATTTAGTGTTTTGTTCGTTTTGCTCCGAGTGTGTCCATTGGTGATATGATGACATAATAAACAAAACGAAAGTCCAGCGAATGTTCATTCGAGTTCTTGTTCTTCTTTGAACTCGCGCATTAGTTTGTGATCGAAATCGATACTGAAATGTTGTTGTTTTCGTCAAACTATTTGAACCTTGATCGAAAGCAATGATATGTTAAACAATTTTCTTATTAACCGTGTAATACATGATGACAGTCTTGTTTCATCTTCTTTCATTGATCATATCGACATATATTGTTTCCTATTATTTGAGAAAGATTTTACTTTCGATACCGAATAATTGTTTTTTCTCTCGTTCGTCAAGGATATGTGCTCATCATCATTTCATTAGATAGGAGGAGAGACATAATTGATTCGATATCTTTGAAGTTCATTGAATCAAATAGATACTCATCGATTTGACAATCAAACAACAAACAATGTTCATGTGAATGTACATTCCTCCCCATCGACATCGATCTCACTTGCGATGTTGACCTTTTTCTGCTCCAAATGATCGCTCGCCTGAAATTCGATCTATTACTGGTGATTAGAGAATGCACATATACACGATCGGACATAAACACAAATGAGACGTATCTGTTGTTACATCTTGTCAGCGAAAAGGATTGTTTGAGATCATTTACATTTCACACAGTATTGACATACATCATCTCTAGTTATTTCGTGCTCATTACGATGAAATTTTAGCGAAGTACTTTTATTATGGAAAACAAGAACTGTAAACATACAAGGAAATATGAACAAAATGAAACTACCATTAGAGTTGACGATGGATTTATTTGTCACTGTGAATTGTGTACGATCGTCTTCTGCAGTGTGAAATTTCCATTTGACTAGACCGAATTTGCTCTAGGATGAACATGTTGTGGTAGCGGGTGAGATGAAATTGTACAAAGAATGATGATGATGAAGAACATTAGCAGCAGCCACAGCTAATGGATGTTTTAATTGTAGAAAACGATACTTCTCGGTGTCCGCTTCAGCGATACGTTTTTCCTTCGCTCGACGATTTTGAAACCATATCTGAACAGCGAGAAATCTTCCATTTTACGTTCAATTCCGATAATCAACACTTACTTTCACTTGAGTTTCTGTTAAATTCAACGAAGCAGAGAATTCTGCTCGTTCAGCAATGGTTAAATATTGTTTATCGCGAAATTTCTTCTCTAATGCTAATAGTTGTGATGTCGTAAAGGGTGTACGTGGTTTACGATTCTGTTTATGTTTGCGTAATGAGCAGGCTTTTGCATTGATTTTCGGCAATTCATTATTACCTAGAATAATCAAAGGAAATTACGCGATGATCTTTCGATTGCTATCAAGTTCTTACGTGCTTTGTCGATGATTTCCGCGTCTGGTAACCAATGTGATTGCGAAGTCGTATTCGTCCAGGATAATCGACCGGCCATTCCGCTACCCGCCGAAGACGATGGTGAATATTGTAGACTTTCATTACTTGCTGATTTCGATGGACTTGTCGTATGGCAAGATGAATGGAGAGTATCATTCTGCGAGCAATCGATCAATGAACGTATGCTAAAATCTATATTGCGCTTGGACTTTTTCAATGGTGGTTCCATATTTGATGATTGATCGAGAGATTTAATTCTAATTTGTGAAATGAAATTTACTCTCTTTCTCTCTCCTTTTCCCCTCTTCTCCTCCTCATCGTATTCAGAAGGAAGGAGAAAAGTAATCCGATTGGTTGAGAGGTTGAACTAGCTGGAAGAAAATGTTTTATTGGACAAAAAAGAGTAGAGCACCGAAACGCTTGCTCTTTTCTCTCTTCAATTATGAGAGTGAGAAAGAGGAAATCAACGCTTATCCTCAGAACGGAAATTACTTCTTTTTTTAGTGTCTCGGAAAAAATATAATATCATTGTGTTCATCTTTATTCAATGATTATACGTATATAGAGAGATAAAGTAGCCCTTTTCGAGAGCAAAACATCGACGAGATCAATCAATATAAAACTATCATTAATCGTATATGCAACTAATCCCAATAATTTCATTTCGACAGGTATACGCCTCTGACATTCGTTCGGAGCTAAAGACATTCAGCGCGAGGAAAATGACAAATTCACGTTTGATTTGATGTTAGTTTACTTTTTCTTGACGAGGTTAACTCTAATAGGCAGACTCGAGGGGGTAATTAGATGATAGGTGAAGAAAGCATCTATCACTGCGAGACATTTGACAAGCGCAACGAATGATGATATGCATGGAGATTTCTTCTCTCATTGACGATGAAATTTCATTATGATGTAACATAAACTGATCTCCAGGAAATACAAAAGCGATCAATATTGTAACGGAAGTAACTCGTTTGATCGAGAGCTTACCACCCAGATGCCCTAGATATCAAACATGAATACCGGTCTCTTTTAACAAATACAGACACATATCCATTCGAATGTAATAATTAAGAAGCCAGATGAAAATTATCTTTCCCTTTTTCGTTCCGTTCCCATGTAGAAATATTTCATTCTTTTCGACATCATTCACATATCATTAAGCTAAATGACTATTATGATATGCATTGAGACTCGTCGTCAGTCAAGTGTCGAACGGTTGTTGTGTGTTCATTGATCAAAATTTCATTTGATATATATATATATATTTCTATTACCATGTGATTCAATGAGTTGGAACAGATTTTCTATGCGATTGTCAAAAATGGAATGGTTCACCTGCTTTCTCTCACATTCTTGCAATTAAATAATCATTGTTCGATTACAATCGAATATCGTCGACATTTTATCGAGCAAAATGACGGTGTGGTTCATTAATAAAAGCGAAGGAAGACCAATTTCATATGCAAATGTTCTCGTTCGTTTTTTTTTGTGACTTCTTTAAAGTAGCTGACAGATAATGCGCATGACTATTGAAAATTTATTCACTCGAATCGCTGAAGTTTTGACATTTGAAACACGCAAATAAACTTTTCAATTGACTTTCCTCCTCTCATCGTCGTTGTTCTTCAACCGAGTATGCGTGACAACAATACGCATGAAATTGATAATTGAGAAAAATTAATGGGGTTATCTTCATCGTTTGTTTTTCGAAGGAACCCATTGATAAATGAGAGGATGATGGAGACAATTAACCAAATAAATCAAATAGTATACCTTGAGTAGTATTTAACATGAATGTATCTATCGATCAAATGAGAGATATATCTAAACGACCCCTTCTCAAGTACAAGACGTTTGTTGTCAGTGTGATAGATGAAGAACTGCAAGGTGATAGTTTTCCAACGAGTTGATTGCTATTTCTTCGCTGAGTCTGGTATCAATTTCTAGTACAAACGATAGTAACTAGCTCATTAGTCGAATACAATAACGATCGTTTTTTTTTCTAAATGCATCTCAGCATAAACATTGAATGGCTGCGACGTGACACAACGAGTCAATTGCTATTCCCGATCGATACAACTAATCGACTATAGACGAATGTATAATAAGAACTTTTAATCGTCAATCGATAGACGTTGAAATATATATATATATATGTATATAAATGTATAAAACAAAAAAACGGGAGACTAGTTTAGACAAAAAATTCGGATTGTTATGCAAAAGGAAAATATGCTGATGTTATGTCGAATTGCTTGGCTAATTGATCTTTGATTTGAATGAAACGATATTTTTCGAGTTCAGCTTCTGATAGACGCTTTTCTTTCGCTCGACGATTTTGAAACCATATCTAAACAATCGTAGACCTTTCATTTCCTGTTCAATCTCAACAATCAACACTTACTTTCACTTGAGTTTCAGTTAGATTTAGTGACATTGAAAATTCTGCTCGTTCCGATATGGACAAATAATGTCTTTCATGAAATTTCTTTTCTAACGCAATCAGTTGTGACGTTGTGAACGGCGTGCGTGGCTTTCTATCATTTTTGTGTTTACGCAATGGACAGATTTTCGTGTCGAATTGATCTACAAAGCGATAATTAAGATAACTCTTGATTGTATTCGAAGAGAAACCTGTATTCCTACTGGATAGCCAATAATCTGACGGAGACACTGTCGAATTCTTGATCATTGGAATCGATGACTTGCTTGGATATGTATTCAAATCACAGTCATTTTTATCACGTAAAAGAAACGCAACACTGAAATCTTTCTTCGTTTTAGTTACCATTGGATTGTGCTTAATGGTTAATTTGTTTTCTTCTAAGTTGAATGTGAGTGTATATATGAAATCTACAACACCAATGAAAAGAACGATGGATAAAGTTATTCTTTACATTTCATGATTGGTTGAATATGAAAAGAAAGGGTACGGGAGAGAGAGAGACAGACAGAGAAAAGGAAAATAGTACTTTGCTTGTCATCGNAAATAAATGATGATATGTCGTTTTTTTTACTCTTCTATCTAATTAATGAATAAAGTAAATGATCGAGTTATACAATCTAGTAAGACGCGTTGGTTATATGCTTGTCAATAATGAGAAAGACGATGGATTCACGCTAATTATAGGTTAATGTCTTTGCATTCAAATGAAAGATCAATTTATTTATGTTTATCTGCGATATGCATCTACTTTTTCTTTTCTAATTCATCTAATGACTGTAAACGAGAAAAATCTTATTTGGGATAATTAATCAAACGAAATTAAAGGATAGTTTTATTTTCGACGACAAGAAATTCTTGAATAACAAAAATGTACGACAACAACATTTAGACTTTTTCGGATTGTTCGAATATGTGTGGAATGCTTCCGTTGGATGAGCGTACGCGAGAGAATCGACGTGCTACATTGATCGTCTGACGAATTTTTTGCGCTTTGAGGAAATTTTCATGTTTACCACCAGTTGTTCGATCATCACCTTCGATCTCGGTTCGAATTTCCATCTTTTGTACGATTAGTCGTACAAGATCAGTAATTTTCTCCAGT